CAGGGGGAGGGCCTTCTCTGTGGGTGCCCCCACCCTCTGGAACGAACTACCCCCCGAGATCCGGACGATTCCGGACCTCCTACCTTTTCGCCGCGCCCTCAAGACATGGCTTTTTCAACAAGCGGGTCTGGCCTAGGGAGAATTTTTAAATAGGGACAATTTTTAATTTAAATCTTAATTAATTATACAGCGAAAAAAATATTTGGTTTTTAATAGGTTTTTATGGGGGGACGATGTTTTATGTGTTTTAATATGCTGTAAGCCGCCCTGAGTCCTATAGGGAGAAGGGCGGCATATAAATCCATGTAAATAAAATAAATAATAAAATATATCAATATCACCATTATTGGAATATTGAAAGGGCACGGGAAAAGGCATTTGCATAGTGAAAGTAGGAGTATACATAATCAAATGAAGACCTTTCACAGTACATGTCAGCCCTTTGAGGCAGACCAAACCTGAACACCAAAGTTATGAATATTAAAACTACTTTTATTACAGGATTACAGTATCAGAATCTCGTAACTCTGAATGTACTTTCCCCCTCTCTGCCTTCATCCTAAAGAAAATTAAGCACAGTCAAGTCTGAGATATTTTCTCAAATGCCATTCCCGCTTTGGACTCAAATGTTTCTTATCTGACCACTGCCTTGGCTGTGGCTCTTCCTTCTGTTCCTCAGAGTTACTCTCACAGCCCATTACAGTAAGTTTTAGCAATTAACACAAATATCAAATCCATTTATACAATTATTTTTGCCCACCAATTTGTGTGTGCATGTGTGTGTGTGCGTGTATGCATGTATGTCTGGGTCATTTTTGACTTTGGCAACTCCTTGGATAAATCCACGCAGCTTTCTTGGTGAGATTTCGGAAGCAGTTTGCCACCGCTTGCTTCTCCGAAGTGTTACTGGCCCAAGGTTACCCAGCTTGCTTTGTGCTTAAAATGGGACTAGAACTCACAATGTTCTCGCCTGGTGTTTTAAACCACTGCAACCCAACTGGCCCTCACTGATTATAATAGGAAATTATAATTTTAATTTAACTATTTGACAATACAGTCCTATACAATATTAATTTTGGGAAGCCTCAACTTAGCAATATTTCTGAGAACTTATAACAATAGGGTTGGAAGGGACCTTGGAGGTCTTCTAATCCAACCCCATATCCAGGATGGCGAATCTTTTAGAGACCGAGTGCCCAAACTGCAACCCAAAACCCACTTATTTATCGCCGGGTGCCAGGTGGGCGTGGCCCACTGGATGGGCATGGCTGTGGTGGTCATGGCAGATTGGGTGGGTGTAGCCAAGGTGGGCGTGATCACCTCAATGTTGCTCGTGGGGAGGGACGCCTGTGGGGGCTGGGCAGGGTTGGGGGAGATCCAGGGGGGTCTCTGGCAGGTGGGGCAGTGGGCAGGAGGCTCATCCTGTGTGGAAACGTGAGGCAAGGCAAGGCAAGGCAGGGCGGAGGTGCCATTGTCACAGGGCAAGGTGAGGCAGGGGCCGGGGTGGTTGCTGCCTGACACCATCAGCCCCTGCACACAGAGGCCAGCGAGCGCATGGGTGCTGGGATGCATCCAGCCACGTGGGACCTTGGCAAGTTAGCGGGCGGTTGGTTGAAGAGGGACGGTTGCCATCTCTGGGGCATGGCACACATCCCACAGAGAGGACTTTGTGTGCCGCCTCTGGCACGTGTGCCATAGGTTCGCTACCACTGTCCTATACTATTACAGACAAATGGCTGTCCAATCTCTTAATGAATGTCATCTTTGCCCAGCTCCTGAGTTAGCTCTTAAGCAACTATGGCTGATTTTGAAGGGAAAAAAATCACTAAACTGACACTTCTGAACATTGGTGTTGGAAAAGACTTCTGAGAATATTGTGGACAGCCAAGAAAACAATCAAATGGATTATCAAACAAATCAACCCAGAGTTCTCATTCAAGGCACAAATGACCAGACTCCAAATATTCTACTTTGGATAGATGACCTAGCTCTTTGGGGAAGATTCTAACACTGAGAAACGTGAAAGGAAAGAGAAGAAGAAGTAAAGCAGCAGGCAGGTGGTGATGGGTGCACTGTTGGAAGATATGAAATCCCAGGATAGGGACAGATCATCATAGAGAAAATCTGATTGTATGGGTACTAAGCGTTGACAATGATGGCACATAATTAAGCTGGGCTGGAGCAGAAAAAAATCAGAGCTGGTTACTAGGTTGGAAAAATGAAAAACAACCCAGAAGAGAGCAATCTATATTGTTGTCAATGAAGCATGCTACGCTTGATATTTGTTGAGAGATACCTGTCCTAAAAAATACACGGTTTTACTTACTTATTACTTTACTAAATGTCCTAACATACTGAGAAACACTGGTGCAGTAGTTAAAATGTTGGACTAGGGTCAAGGAAACCTGGATCCTAGTTGTCTTTTAGTTATGAAAACGTCTTGAGTACTTTTTTGGCCCAGCCTATCTCATAGTGTACTTGAAGAGAAAACAGAAGGAGGGAGTACTATGTACAGATATTTAACTCCTGAATTAAAAGTGGAATACAAAGTTAATCAAGTAAGAAAAGCAAATAAGTTGTAAAAATTACTCACCACCAAACAAAGATCACATATCTCAAGTTCTTTTTCAACCTCTGTAAGGATATTAGAATCCAAAGTTTCTCCAAACCATACAACATGAGGTCGCAAGAGGCCATTGCACAGTTCGCATCTGTCTCCCCCAAAATATGGAGAAAATTTTTACATAATTGAAGCAATGCAGAAAGATTAGTAAAGCAGTTTAAAAGAGGCGATTGCTATACTTTAGAAAAAGTTGCACATGTATCAACTTCAGTGCAAAACTATTGTATATTGTTTAAATTCTAGAAAAATCCATTAGGAAAATCTTCATACTTTAAACAGTATATTTAATCCAAATAAATTACTCAAAATATTTCACCAATCTTGATATTGTTGTTTTGCAAATAAATATTCCAGCCAATGAACCGAATCTAAGTTTTTGAATTTTAAAATAGAGAAAATTATATACATAATGCTACTAAAAATCACTGGGCAAAAAATAATAATAGATGAGTCATATAACAAAAGGCTGAACTTTTATAATATTAATATGAAACTCATCATTGCGGTCTATGATAGCATAAATACATTGTGATTTTAATTCCTTTTTATTTAATAAGATTCTAATCCTAAAACTTCTTAGAATGAGCAGAAGAAGAATAGCTAAATTCGAAGCAACTGCATTTCAAATTAAGGGTCATTGAATTAAATATATAGTTTATATCATAAATGCAGTTTATGATACAGGTGTCAGTAGCCCAGTAGGCATTCACAAATGGTAAAAGTCATCTCTCAGCAAAACTGAGAGGGAGATTTGAGCCAATTCTCCTTCTCCCTGGAAGCTAAGGTTGGAGTCCATAACCAAGCCAATTTAGAAGTAGGGAGGGGGAATAAAGGGAACAATCCTGGAAAAGAGATCCCTATCACTGATGGATTATTTTTTTATCAAGAGTGTGACACTAGCTAGATGCTACCAATACTTTCATGTACAAAAGCATTTTAATGTCAATGCAAATGTTTTCTGATTGAACAAGTGTGTACATCATGTGTATTGTTTTATGCTGTCCAACAAATCTCTTACAGAACAGAGGCAGCATGTATAATTCTGTTCCCCCTCTGAACATTACAGGTAGTCCTTGACTTTCGACCACAACTGAACCCAGAATTTATGTTGCTAAGTGAGAAATTTGTTTTGCCCCATTTTACAACTTTTCTTGCCACAGTTGTTAAGTGAATCACTGCAGTTGTCAAGATAGTAACATAGCTGTTAAGCGAAATTGGATTCCCCGTTGACTTTCCTTGTCAGAAGGTCGCAAAAAGGGGATCACATGACCCACGGGACACTGCAACCGTCATAAATATGAACAAGTTGTCAAGCATCCAATTGTAGATCATGTGACCATGGGGATGCTGCAATGGTCGTAAGTGTGAAAAAAGGTTGTAAGTTGCTTTTTTCAATGCCGTTGTAACTTTGAACGGTCACTAAATGAACTGTGTTAAGTTGAGGATTATCTGTAATGAATATGAAAGTTGCAAGCTTGTGGTCATTCAACGGCAACAGAGATCTTGTTGTAAGGCAAATCAGTCCTACCTCATAATATCATGGATAAACACACACACACACACACACAAACACATAGCACTTTTTTTGAGAAAACTTGCATGAGATCAAAACTTACCGAGGGAGATCTCCCACAGGAATAGTAGCTTCTTCAGTTTCAGGATCTGGAGCACTAGAATTGTTAGCAATAATAAGAACAAATATTTTACTCAAAGCAAAGTAACAGGGAAGTATTATATTCTCTCTGGTATCAGAAAATCTCTAGTTTTGGTCTTATTTTAATGAGATACCCAACAACATGCACATTATTTCTCTTGAAAACTAGTTTGGAAAAAGCAATAATAATTTTAAGAAATAGGTTTAATTGGCAATACCAAAGAAATGTTTTACTCTACTGGGAAATGAATAGAGTATTCTGCAAATTTCCATGTAATAAAGGGGTTTTTTTTCTTTCCTCTTTCCTTTTTCCTACTTCCTATTTTTTGAGATATAATTGTCTTGAAATTTTAAACATTTAAGAAGTAACTCAAACATCAGTCTTCGTAACTGCTCACCTGTGTAAATGCTCAAATAGTAGTTTATATCCTCCCAACTGTTCTTGAAATAGTGCCCCAAAATCACAAATAAAACTGCTAACAATTCTATAAAGGAGCAACAGTAAAATTCTACATATAGGTGTTAGCTGTTCTGTGTTTTGCTTTGGAATTTAAGTTTTTGATAGAAAAAAATTGGGCAACTCTCCAAATTTCTGGACAACTCTCCAAATTTCTTAAATAGACAGTAGTAAAAAAAAATAGTGAAATCGGAAAAGTACATATTAATTTTAAAAACATCACTTAAATCCCATAGCTGAGATCCAAACTGGTGTGAGGGACCACTCTATTCAGGTATCTCTTACTACCCTACATGTGAGCAGAACAGCTTTCCATTTGCAAATGTGATGTAAGGGCATACACAAGATAGCAGCTTGCCCACTCTATGTTCATATAGCTTGCCTGCCTTCTTAATGGTATCCTGTATTTCTATCATTCTTCTTTAATAAAAATTGTGACTATCACACCATAGATAATTACCCTTTTCCAGCTAAAGCAGGACAGATTGGACTGTTGTAATTCTCCACAACGTTTCTACAACTGGTGCATCGGGTTTTGAATAAGCTACCTGTGATGTTAAGTAATAATATCAGATTACAATATTAATTTTTAAATTTTTATTTCCGGCAAAACTAGGAACATGATGCATCCTATAAAAATAAGAAGTAACAATATAGCTTTCAACAACAAAAATCAAAATCAAAGTCAATTGTAATATTTTGAAAAATAGAATGTGTTAACAAATACAAGTTATTAAGACAAAGGAAGAACTCAGTCATAGCATGCACAAGATCTTTATCAGTATGGAATTTATACTGGCAAATAATTATACCGAATTATTAATATAAAATATGGTTAAATTTGATCCATTTCTGGGAATTCTTACCATGAATTTCTAAAACATGCTTTGATCCTGCTCTTTTGTGGAGTTCATCGATGTTTTGTGTGATGATTGCAACACTCCTGCCTTGCTTGCTTATCTTAGCCTCACACTCTGCTATGGCAAGGTGTGCGGGGTTTGGTTGTTTGGTCATCATTAATTCTCTGCGGTAATGATAGAATTCCCACACCCTAGAGGGATTCCGTGCAAAAGCTTCTGGGGTAGCCAGTTCCTGTGAATGAAAAATTGGTTATTTTGCTAAAAGAAGAAATATTCACAGCTGATTATGAAGATTATCTGAAGTTGCAACGTTATCAAACCAGGGTGCATTTATACAGTGTATTTCCATGTTCAAAATGCTTTATGAATATCATGGGAAAAGGTTAGTATAACTTTGGCCTGTTTGTTCAAAACCACACATTATATCAAAGGAAGTTTTTATATAAGATTTATAATAATAATAAAGTTGGAAGGGACCTTGGAGGTCATCGAGTCCAACCCCCATTGAGAAAAAATTAATCTGCAGAGACAGGTACACAAATAAGGCGATCTCAGTTACACTAAAATTGTCTATCCTTCCTATATGACATGGAAAATCTTAAAAGAAATTACAAATCTTGGGAAACTAAGCAAGAGAGTCAGCTTGTGACTCAAAAAGAAAAAAGGATGTATTAAAGCACTATAACTCATCAAATAATACTGTCAATTCGGTGAAATCTCAATGTACCAAACCTAATGCCACAAGCTTCACTTAGAATGGACTAATTCTTAGAATGGCACCAATCAGTATCATTTGCAAATATATTGATGAAAACACCATTTGTTTCACTATCATTCCTTAATACATTATGTAATTTGCATCATTTGTATAATGAGGAATACTGACTGAACTGCATCATTGAGTTGCACAGCATGCAAGTTTAATTATTATGCATATTATGCAAATTACCCCATGTATCTTTCATAAATAATGAACACCTTTTCCCTCAATTAATTCATTAAATAAGATTTTATTGTATACTAATAAGTTAATAATTCTAGCAGAATTTAATTACATTTATATTTACTACACATAAGCATTCTGAACTACACTGAGATGATTTTGAAAATAATTTGACACTATTGTGTTTCATCTAGTAATACACTGATTAGCTAATTAGCCTACATATCAAGATTTTAAGTCTACTATAGAGTAACATGTCCTTCTAAGCAAAGGACTTGGTTTTGACTTAGAATACTGCATGAGCCAGGACATAGTATCTTGTTTTAATAATAATAATAAAGTTGGAAGGGACCTTGGAGGTCATCTAGTCCAACCAACCATGCTCAAAGCAAACTGTTGCTTAGCACATGTCATACTAGGTAATTGGGTTTTTAAAAAGTACTACGGCTCTTAAATAATATTTAGCATCCTGAAAGTATACCAACAGTACATACTTGTGCAGGCCATTTCCTCCAAAAGCTTCCTGCACCTCGGAAAGTTGGAACACCGCTCTCTGCACTGATTCCAGCCCCTGTGATAATAGCTATATGTTTTGCTTTAGCAAATATTTCTCGAAATTCAGTCATATCTTAAAAAAATAAGGAACATACAATTAGTACATTCTTGAAAACACATTCTCAATTCTGTTTAGAGTGTGGAAAATTTAGTGAAATTATTTTTCAACTATAAAGGTTCCTGTTCTGGGTGGTCCTAAATGAATTCAATCCAATAAGCTCTGCCTTGAATGTTAGATATGGATCTTAACATTTTGAGGAGGAGGACAAGCGAGTAGGTCCCAAAGGTAAATTATGCTTGTATATTAGTATTTTGAGTGTTTAAACTGGAGCTAAAAAAGAGAATAGTTTATACTCAAGATTAATTACATGTGAAATCTATTTTGCATGGTGAAATCTAAGGAATCTTATACAGCTTGGCATATAAGTCATAAAAATTAGAAACAGACTTTTCAACAATTTGTACTGATATTTCCTTATGTTTACCCAAATATGTCAAAGAAATAACAGCTTAGTTCTATGATTATCTAGCATATCTAATCAATTTATTTAAAAAATGTCCTTTCTGGGGCTAATTTTAATTGCTATTTGTTTGTAAAATTTAGGAGGCCCAACTCTGTAAAATCATTGGGTTGCATACAATATTTTAAAAAAAACCCAAAAACCAATACAATAAGAGAAAGAATGAAGTACATCCAAAAGAAAAAAATATCCTAACATATAAAGGGATATAAGGGCTTGCCACCCACACTAAGGTAAGGTCTAGGGGGAAAGTCAGTTTTTGGAAACTTTCTAAATATTAAACTTTACTGCAAACCTGAGTCAAGAAAAATGTTCAACTAGCTTTAAAAACAGGTTAAGGAATAAGAAACAAGGAGATTTTATATGGATAATTTAATACAATATGAAATCTGTCCCCCTCCCAATTCAGATTTTATATTATAAATAAAATAAATCTCTCTTTTTGATCTGAAGAGAAGAAGCAAATTTGGGAACATGAATCTCCTGATTGCTGTTTTTAAACCAAAGGATTTTGGGGGGAGAGTGGACATGGACGGAGAAATTATGAGGAAGATATAGTGACCCAGGAGAAGCAATCACCTCCCCTCTTATTTAATATGGTCATAAACAATTTCTTTGTTCTCTTCATTCAAGCTAATGCATTTGCCAGTTTTATTTTTAAAGAGTACCTTAAATGTACCCAAAACATTCCTTTAACAATAGAAAATAAATTAAATTCCATTATCTGTACAGTCTCCATCATTAACAGTTCTCAATGCCCATATGCTGCATATCTGGGGACACAATTCATTTGTTATACAAGAAGTGATATTTTTAAACTTCTGAATATATAAAAGAATCCTTCTTACTTGAACTGGGTCGTGCCATTTCAAAGTATGCCCTTTCTTTCTTGGCTGGAGCAAGTTTAAGCCCGCAATATACTTGAGAAACCACGTTCCTCACGGTAAGGTTGAAAAGCTTCATTAGGATCCAGTATACTGCTAAGTGAGATTGAAAAGAATAAAGTGGAAAAGTGGCCATCTGACGAAATAAGAAAGCAAAATATGTTTGCCTGCATTTATCCCGGATATATTTCACTGTAATTACCATAGTACCACAGTAAATACCACCTTAATAAATTGGCCAACATGAGTTACATTCCATTCTAGTGCTAATGTCCAGAGCGCATAAATGTACTATAATACATTGCTTATGTTAGCTCTTGTGTGATAGAATTTCCCACAAAGATTGCATCCTCTTTCTTCATTTTGCCCATGACCCTCCTGCTAATACAAGTTGTTAAAGCTCTTTAATGCTTATTCACGAGACTGACACAAATAAAGAGAACACCTGAAACTGGAAGCTTGAGAAAGTATTTATCAAAATGTATCTTTTCTCACATTAGTGAAAAAGTCTAATTTTATTCACTTAAGGACCAGCTCAATGCAATTTATAGCATTAATTTTTAAATTCTACCCTTCTATTCCAACTAGGTTTAATTTTTTTATAAAACCATTTTTTAAATCCGATGCTAACATCTACCTCAATATACAGTCTACCAACTCAGATAACATTATTCACATTCACTGCCTTATCAGTGTACTGGTGCTAGCTGTGGGGTTTTTTAATTAATACCTTTGTTTTTATAAATAACTCAAGGTGGCAAGCATATCTAATACCCTTTCTTCCTCCTATTTTCCCAACAAAAACAACTCTGTGAAGTGAATTGGGCTGAGAGAGACTGGCCCACTTTTTTGCTTTGTGGCCATATTTCTCATATTCTGTTATTTGAATTCTTATTGTGATTTTACTCCAGAATCACTTAAATACAGTGTTCTAGAAAACTTTTCTATAAAATCTAGAAATCTACTGCATTAGATTGCTTTTCTTAAACCAATGCCTGGTATATACTTCCATTTGAGTGAGGATTGACTTATGTAATGATTTACCGTACACGAACACATCTTTGCAGTTTTCTTAGCATGATATAGAAAGGGTTTAAAAACCATTAGCTGATTTAGCCAAATTGCTCTGAAAAGCTAGACTCAATTTTGCTGTGATGATAAATGACTCAAAGGGACTTCGCGGTCATGATAAGTGACTCAAAGCAAATTGTTCAAATGACAGATATCCTTACAAGAAGACTTACCAGATGTCACCCAATGATTTGATTATTAAAGTATTCATACATTCACTTTTAGTAGTAAAACTTCCCTAGGAATGCTGATGTTATTAGATAGAAAGCCCACTGCCAAAATAAGTAGGGGGGAAGAATTGTTTTTAGAAATGGAGGGTTGGGAGAGGGAGAAAGGAAGGTAATGGCTCAGCGGAACACAGTACTGCAGTCCCATTCAGTTCAAACTAACATTCTAAAGGCAAAAAATAAATAGGGAAACAAAATTTTTAAAAGAAAAAAAAATACTACACGGAAAGTTATGTTTTGATTGAACCAATTCGAGCCACCCAAAGCTTCCTAATCAATAAAGCAGGACTGGAGGTAGGGACAGCAGCAGACATCCCACGAAGCCTAAAAAACACTTTACACTCAAAACAAAAAACACTAGATCAGTGGTTCTCAACCTGTGGGTCGGGACCCCATTTGGGGTCGATCGACCATTTCACGGGGGTCGCCAAGTAAGGCTGTCCGCCATTTTTTTTGTCCGCCATTTTTTTCCCCCTTTTCCGGCAGGTGCCTTACCTCCCTTGAGCTGGGCCAGCTGGTGGTCGGCCTGCTCCGTCTCTGCCGCTTGCCAGCTACGCCTCGGCCGGCGCAGGGGGTGGAACCACGCATGCGCGGCGCTCCCGGGCAGGGAAAGTCCTCGATTTACGACCGGTTGGGTAGTCCTCGACTTACGACCGGTTTAGTCCTCGACTTACGACCGGTTTAGTCCTCGACTTACGACCGGTTTAGTCCTCGACTTACGACCGGTTGGGGTCGCGGCATTAAAAAGGTTGAGAACCACTGCACTAGATTAAGTGACCATTTAAATACAGCAAACTTGTATCTGGGAGTCCTATCGTGGTCAGGAGCTCTGCCTACTGCAGATAATTAATGGAGGGACAAGAAGAAGGAAAACACCATTATCTTTAGTTAGCACAACTGTATATTCGCCCCCTTGAGGCGACGTGCAATGCGTGCGTGCGTGCGTACATACATAAAAAGGTGGGCTATAAATGTTGTTGTTGTTATTGTTTCTGCCCACAAACGGCAAGAAGCCAGGCCTAAACAGACCAGGGGCCCGCCTCCATTCCCACCCCAACACGGGCCCACCCGGCGTTTGTGGGCTCGCCCAAGAAGGTCTGGAACTGGTTCCTCCTCCGGTAATAAGGCAGCCGAAAAGCCAGGAACAAAAACTGCCCTCCCCACCCACCCCGGGCCGCCGCTGGTTGTCGGGCCCCCCCTCCTCCGAAAGCGGAGAGCCGCCTGGTGAAACCTACGGAGCCCTCGACTCCGCCCAACGGCTCCCGGGTTCCCAAGACGGCGAGTCTCGACAGAGCCCAGCCAGGCGGCCGCCTTACTTACCCCGAGCCCCACCGCACGCTTCCCCGGGCCCGTCCAGCCAGCGCGACCGTCGCCCCGCGAGGATGTGGCAAAGCGGGCCCAGCCGCCCAGAGCGGCCCTTCGCCGCGCGCTCACGAGGAGGCCCTGCGTGAAAGGCGGCACGTCCCCCGCGCGCGGGCCGTCCCTAAAGTGCCCTTTCTGAGGTTGCTATGGGGAAAGGGGGGGAAAGAGGGCGGCCCGACCGCGTCTCTGTCGTTCTAGCTTCAAATTGACAGCGTCGCCAGCGAGGCGGGGTTTAGCGCCAGGCTTTCATGGGATCTTTTTTTAATGAATTCTGGGAGTTGAAGTCCACATGCCTTAAAATTGTCAAGGTTGAGAAACACTGTTCTAGATCTAGAATCTAGATCAGGGGTAGGCAACCTTGGCTCTTTTATGACTCGTGGACTTCAACTCCCAGAATTCCTGAGCCAGTCATAAAAGAGCCAAGGTTGCCTACCCCTGGGCTAGTCACTCTTTTTGAGCCCAACTCATTTCACAGGCTTGTTGTGGGAAAATAGGAGGGAGCATTATGTATGTTCACTACTTTAAGTTACTTAATGATTCTGTAATGAGTAATAAAATGGTGGATAAAAATGCCAAATCCAGTCTAAACATCTGAGTGACTGTGCAACCTACCACAATAATACTATGTTGAAGAAGTTCACAGGAAATCATGACTGGACATGAAACGGAGAGAAATGTGGATTATCCATGGGGATGACAGGTCTTGCTTTGCTTAAGAAAAGCGAAACACAGAAAACTTTCTTCTCTTGATGAAAGAGAATCAAAGTATTTCATTCCAGACTCCCAATTGTTTACTGAAGCGATAAATTCGATAAATGCTTGTCATTGTTTTTCAAAAATGGCAATAATTTTACTACTATTCAAATCCCAATCTGGTGAAACTACCTGGCTAATATTTTTGAATCTGTTTAAAAAAGCATGTTTTTAAAATCCATTAGACTCCCATCAGTATCTATTTCTTTTACCTGATCTATTTGAGTCTGTTTTATAACTATTATACTTTTAGGACTATTGGTGTTGAGAGGCAATATACCAGAACCTTTCCCACTAAAATGTAGTACTTTTCAAAGCTAAACTTGATAATGTAGTTTGCATTTTGTAATGAAAGGTCTGCATTTAGTAAAAAGTTAAATTTTGTAGAAAATAATGCACATACTGAGGCTAACTAAGCCCTCCGTTGTGAAATTCCCTTTTGCAAATTGACTGCTGCAGTGTGAACAGCTTATTTTAAGGAAGGCCTTAAACTGTTAGTGATTTTTATAAGGTTATTTATTCTCACTGTTGTTTCCATACTTTTATTTACTCAGGTCTATTGTTCTTTTAAACATACACTAGCAATTGATATTTACCCTATTTTTATTCTTTCTATATTGCCGTTATTTCTTAACATTAAACTTTTTAGTTAGAAAGTTAAGCAACTAATATTTTAACTAAATACATGAAGTACTATGTTCCCTTCCAACAGTTCAATGGGAATTATTGTTAGATAAATGCAGCTGAAGAAATGGAACTTGCAAGTAGCTTTTAAAACAAGTAGAAATAAAACAATTCTAGAACTGATTAGTGATGTTGAACATTTTGATGAGGCTCTGTATGCACCGGTTGTTAAGATAAACTGAATTTAGAATATACAAGTAGTTACTAACTTGTTTGCGGGCACTGCTTAATAGGGTTGGGCAAAGCATTTGAAAGCAGGGCTTTGGAAGGCTTTGATTTCCAGCTATCTCTATGTCCTTTCGTCCCAGCAGAACTATTTTCATACAGAGACCACCTCCAAAGCAAACACAAGAATCTTTAAATGTGGCTAGTTTAACACATTAATGGAGTTGTTTGCTCAGACTAAAACTCTTTGCACAGTTCCTTTGTTCAACAAGAATCTTGCTATCAGCACGTTGCTAAGATGCACTGATTTCTGGCACAATATAGTGGGAGAGCAAAGGACAAAGCTACATGTTAACCAAGTAGCCTTATAAATTTAAAAACATGCAACTAAATAAAAACTAAATGATACTGTATTTCATTCTGTATGGCCATGCCAAAAATATTCAGAGTCCTCCTCTGGATATGAGTAGGCTAGATGGGTGTCCACAAAGAAGTGTCTTCATAATAACAGTATCCAGCTTACTTTATGCCCTTCCCACAAATACGTACAATATATAGCACCCACAATGATGTTTTTCAGCATCAGATGAAGAATACTAAAAATACTGTTTTTAAATGGCATTTTTATAGTTGTTGTAACTTAAACCTCTAGCTCAGTGTTTCTCAACCTTGACAACTTTAAGGCATGTGAACTTCAACTCCCAGAATTCCACAGCCAGCAATTCTGGGAGTTGAAGTCCACATGCCTTAAAATTGTCAAGTTGAGAAACACTGGTCTAGCTGAAACAAGATTTCTCTCCTTAATAATTGCACTGGTGTGTTGTATTTATATGTCTGTATGTATATATAGCATTAGAAGCCTCATTCCCCCCCCCCCAAAACAGAGCTCATAACTACCAATTGAAATTGCCTATACAATAATATATCCCATTTATAAAATTAAGTGAACTTCTACCTGCATATACCAACTATTCTCTCAACACACACACATTTCCCTCCTTCCTTTATGGTATTCAGGAGTGGGAATAGCTGCAGTGAAAATGGAGATGGTACATAAATGGGTGAGGCAAGGAGAAAGGTAGATAAATAATAGAAAGACAAGCCGTTTTTAAATGTTATAAAAATGGTTCTGTTCACTAGACAAGCAACTGGCTGTAATCTTCAAAGCTATCCTTGTTTTTCAGCAAAGAAATGTACCATCATTTGTACCTCATGCTTATTCACGACCTTTTTCCTAGGCTATTTATTAGATATGTGAAGTGCTCCGATGTGGAAGAGCAGCTGTCTGTGCCCTTTAATGCAGCTGTATCGTTTTTCTTTTTTCTTTTTGAAATTACGTGTTTATCTTCCATTGCTTCATGTAATCCTGGGAAAAGATGTGGAAGTTGCAGACAAGTGCTATTGTTTGTGCTCCGAAGCACCCCTGTAGAATCACACCTAAAACAGCCCACAATCCTAATATTTATGCATACTGCAAATTCTAACCTTTTAATGTTGCTACGAGTAGGACTGAGACTTGCTTTTTCATGAATAGAACAAATGATTATCAACAGTTCCTCCCATACTGCTTTGATGCTGGTAAGGATCCTTCTTGCACTTTTCAAGTGGCAAAAGGAATAGGAAAAATTGGCAAAATTACTTTCCTTCTCTCTTCACCAACAGAAATCCATAATTTTGGACTCAATTCAATAATTATGTATGATCAAGAAGCTTTCATGTATAAGCTGAAAGCTACCTAATGGTACAGAAGACCATATGCATCATAATCAACATGAAGAATTATTATTTTGCAGAGGGTATTGATGAAATTATCAATGAATTTACTTTATGTCTTTAATACTTTATCATCTTCAAAAAAATGTGTCCAGACGTGTATAGAATATGCTAAACTTTGAATTACTGAACAGTTTAGTTAATAAAATGCTGTGTTACAGAATATAAAATCAAATAAGCAAAAACATTTATAAAAATCTGAAGTAAACACTCTGTATTCTAACACAAATGTTCTGTACCAATTAAATACAGTATAGCAGAAATAGAATATAAATTACATTCTTTACATTAATTGCAAAATACTAGGAGTTAGCTTACTATACATATAAATCAAACAGCAGTAGCAGCAGTTTGCCCATAAGATCCCATTATCTCAATTACTTTCTAAAAAGTGAAAACTACAGCAGGCCATTCATATTTCCTTTTTCTTGAACCATTTGCTACTTTACATATCCCCAACATAATATCTATACATGGAATAATTCCCTAAAACCCTCAAAGCATAATACAAGTTCATATAAAAATATATTTACAGATAAAATCACCTCAGAACATTTTACCTAAGTCTTGTCACATAGCCAGCAACAAACAGTGCATTTTTTTTGTACTTGTGATGCTGTACTGCTATTTTCTTTCTTGTGCCCATGTTTTTAAAAAGCAGTAATACTGTTCTTGCACCTAAAATGCCTAGTTGGCATGTACACACACAAAAATGCCATATATACATTTAGGCATTTTAAATATTTCCAATAAATGTCAAGTTGACACAGTGGCAGGCCCATAGGAAGACAAAACATAAAATCAAAGTGAAAACAGTATCTTCAGTGTTCATATTAAACAAAAGACATATGGTAGCATGATGCCTCATATTAATCTCTACAAATATGGCACCAAGCTGTCAGTTAAAACATATACATACCATTAAACCATGATATCAACAGCATGTGTATTACACTAATACAAATTCTTTGGTAATTAACATATTGTAGGTTTTCCCTCAAGATGCATATTTACACCCCGTGACCTTTCCACCCAATAAAATATTCTGTATAAAATGTAACCCAATTTGTTCAGTAACATTCAGTTAAACTCACAGTTTTATCTACAAACAGTGCATTGATATACATCCATTCTCAAGAATCCAATTGAGCTCAGTGGGATACATATCCAGCTTATGATATAGGATTGTACTCTAGTGTGAACCATATTTGCCTTTCAGGTAGGCAAATGATACACAGTCAACATAGGTTGTCTATTTTTTTTAAAAAAAATCACAGAATTATATCTGTGATTCAAACATTCAATTACATATTAAAACTACAATTTTTTTAAAAAAATGAAAACTGTTTTCCCCCCAGTGATATGTGCAGCAAGTGCAAAACCAAAACCAACTTCAGTTAATCCAAGATTTCCTAATCTCCTGTTTTCTAGAAAAAGCAGAAGCTGCTGCATCTCCTGATTGACAGAAGGCTTCTGGTTTGAGAGACGATGATCCTTGAAATGTTGAACTCTTCAACTTCTCCACATTGGACAATACCTGAGATTGTAAAGTTCTTCTACTGCGTAACTTTACTTGAGCTGGTGATTTAGCAAGGCATTCAGGACGAACAAATATCCCATGTTGTGGCTTGCAATGGAAG